TGGTGCCTTTCCACGTCTCCCTGATTCCCATCTATAACAGCAACATCCCATGTCTCCTCCTCACTTTATATCCCGCCTCGTAGGTCATTCCAATGTCACAACAGTCGGGATTTTTTCACCCAGCCCCACACGCAAACACGCGCAGATAAAGTTATGTGCTTGGCAGCTTAGAGTGAGGCAGAAAGATATGGGACGAGAGAGCTGGAGGCAGAAACAGTCAGCGAGAGAGAAGGATTGAGAAAAAAGATGAAAGGAAGCATGAGAGAAGGCTGGAGGGAGAAAATAAAAGTGGGGAGACTGTGATATAGTAGCATGTACATGTATTGGGCCCCATTATAAAGGCACGTGACAGCTTAATAGGACTCTGGCTGCCAAGATGAAAAAAGAAGTAAGAGGTTCTGAACAGCAGGATGTGCGCACACACACGCATGCACACAAATGCATTTATACATCTCTGTAGGCGTCACACATATGCTGAGTAAACTATTCAGAGGAGAACAAAGGTGCTCATTAAATTGGATGCTGTGACGCGTATTGATTTCTGCCCATAGAACTCACAACGCCTATTGTTTGGAGATCCTCACTTCAAATCTCTGCTGTCATTGCGGTAGCAAACATCAATATGCAGCTCTGCAGTGCATTACCAAAGGGTTAATTACATACTTGTAAGCAATTACTTTTTTAATGTAGCATTGAATCATCCCCCCAAATTGGAATTTACATCAGAACCATCAAGTGATACCATCTTTCTAATGAAATGCCAACTGAAACATAATAGACTTTGAATTTTGCATTGCACGCCAAGTTTGAAATCTACAAGGTCAAGTCCACACAGACAAGATAACAAAGACAGGTTTTATGTGGCAAGTAAAGGTCTAAGAATTCAATTTAAAATTTAACTCCAGTTATGCAATCAAGTGTTGACGTTCTCAAGCTAAACAAATCAACACACTTAACATTAAATTGTAAAATCCAAAGAGAAGTAGCACCAATGAAATACTATATGTTCAATGCAGCCATTGTTAAAGAATTATGTGTCTAACTGTCCTGAAATATGGGAGACAGATTATGGTGTGTGAAGAACAGTTGGTGACATGGAAATACAATTTGCAATCTTCTCTGTGGTGTTTGGTGGCATAGGAGGGGGGAGGGGAGGGGGGGGAGTCTAATTGGACACTGGCCTGCGTCTGGTAGTCCTGTCACAGCCCGGAGGGGTTTAAGCGTGTCTGTGTGTGTGTGCATGCGAAAGAGTGAGTGAGAGAGGAAAAGAGGGAGACATCAAGTGAGAAAGCAAGCAACAGAAAGAGAATGAGAACAAACAGAGAGCTCCATTCAGGTCCAATCCACAGACGCATCATTCAGTCTGACATGATGATACATCTCTGTGACCAGAGTATTCATATAGGGCCTCACCAGGCCAGTCACAGATGCATCATTCACACCCACACACAAACCCACTTCTGCTGAGTCTTGCCTACACTGCTACCAGGCATTTATATCACTATGGAGAATCTCTCTAAGATTCCCCATTCATATTCATTCACAGCTTCCCCCTTGACATGAACACATTGCAAAGATTTTCTATGGAGCTTATTCTTGTAAGCGCACCGCCCCCAAAATGTAATGAATGTCTTTACTGCCAAGGTTGGAGTGAGAGTTTATCCATTAGCAAGCCATAATATTGACAGGGCCGTGCTCTCCAGGTCCAAACTCTGGCCTTGTAGCCATAACACTGGCCGACAGACAGGGGGTAGTATGTCAATGTGAGGTGCTTACAGGCCGATAAAGGCTGCTGTTCCAATTCCTATAGGCAGGCGTTGATGGACAGCACACGGGGAGAGAGGGAGGGAGAGAGACTGAATAGTGCCAAGTGCTCTTGCAGCCTTTAAGAGTTTAAAACTAAGCTAGAATTTGGTGAAAGGACAATGGGGCAAGACACAGATGAGATAGGATTATCAAACTGCTAAGGGACTAAATGTCTTTCCCTTGAGACCTTGACAGCAGCAGAACACATGCGCTCGCATACGCATCCTCCAAGAGGACAAACACACAAATTGGAACATTCAGAACTGAGTTCAGATACACAGACAGACACACTCTATGTTGCTAGCATGCCAGCCACAGTCACGCTGACACAGACAAGCAGGGGGACTTCAATCTGCAGTAGAAACACTTTGCCCTGTGAGTGACCTCCTCTCCTTTTGTTCACAATTGCAAGCTGCACACAGTTGAACAACAACTAAAAAAAACACATATCAGCCAGCAGAATCTAATGTTTGTTTGAGAAATTTGTTTTCAGCTGTCCATCAGAGAACCATCAGTAACGTGGGAGCCAACGCAGAAAAAAAATGAAATCCAATAATACCCGAAGCACATCCAAACATGCATAAATGCTACAAATCATCTTGCATGGAAGAATGGTTTTATAATTTCCCAAGTAAAATTTGTTGCACGTTACTAAACATGTGTATCTCCTCATTAATTATCCAATAAACACACCACACACACTGTTACCGTGCAGTTAAACAACATCTAAATTGATGTCAACTAACACAAAGCATGGGATCAATCTACCCACTCTACCAGCCTGTGCAGCCACACTGCCCCTCATGGTTTTTCCAGGATACAGCCTCGTCCCTTCAGCCATGCTCTGTTGAGTGATTGAGCACTAAACACAAGTATGTAATCCTTTCGTTTGAATCGTTAGAATGCAAAAATAACCCACGCAACTCAATGTGTATCATCACAGTGCTTAAGAGATATCTGTGCAACAGCAGTAACACAATGGTGCGCATCTAGAGTTAAGTCAAAGAGCGTTTGGAGGGGCGACACTGAATTGATGCATTGAGTGTGGAGTGCAGGTGGATGGAGGGAGGGAGAACCCGGCAGAGGGGCTCAGAGTACTCAGTGTGACTGCTGTACTAGGGCTCTGCATTTTGCATATAGGCTGGAGCAGCTGTTTTCTGTGCATGAGGTGCAAGAGACGGGGGAGCAATGGAGCACGAGTGAGACAAAGTAGGTCCCTGACTCCAAAAGTCGCAACTGCACTAAGGAATCCACATCACACCATAGACTCCAGCGTGTGCTGAAGAGCCCACACTGGTACTTCCCCTGCTTGAATGTCTAGAAATCAGCTCAAGCTCCAACAAACGTTCCCATTCAAGGATAAATGACACTGATTCCAGGAAATGACACACATACACGCTGTGCCAAGAGGGATGATCAACCTTGTGTACAACTACGCAAAACCAAAGTGTTGACAACAAAGTAAGATACTGTTTACAGAACAAATGCATCGTTTAAAGACAGCCCTGACTGTAACATAATCATTCAGCATTGAGGAAAAATTACTCATCATTGCTCATCACCACGTCTCTTGGCTTCGTTTATGTGGTATGACTCCAACACAGGGAAATATGTGGAGCAATCAAGAGGAAGGAGTTGTCTATCCAAATACCTCAAAAGCATCTAAAAAAAATCAAACTCATCAAGTTTGTTTAATAGTAATTTGGCAGTGCTGTAATAAATCTAGTGAATGAATCATTTAAATATGCTCTCAGATTGTCACAACATTTAAAGACCACCACACCAGGGTTCATAATCTACTCAAGAAGAGAGACTTGATTTGGACTATACAGACACAAACATAAAATATCACACTCATGTGGCTCTTATGTCCTATTTACTACTGCATCAAAGCAAAATCCTTTTAAAATGTTTCTCAAAAATCTGGAAATAACAAGTTTAACCTTAAATTACACACAGCATGTGACCCTGAGGGATACCATAGCAATAATAAAATCCCATGACTTAAGATAAAGTCACATTAGACTCGTACCACAGAGAGCAAATCCCTGTAGAGATATTACAGTACAGTGTTTTCTGTTAACTTGAGCGTCTCTAAAGTCAAGCCCTTCCCGAAGTGCTCAGTCTGAGCCACATCGGTCAAGTTCAAAAGCTCCGAGAGGACACTCGCGTATCAGCGATCCTGGAAGCCACACGGGGAGAAATGCGCCTGTTAAGTTTAATTTTGCATCACGCAGCGTGTGATTTCCACGATTTACAAAGCGCAGTCGACACAGCCACTCTATAAATAAATAAATCTGCGGCTACAATGTGAGCTCTACAAAAATATAGTCGTGCAGAGATGTTTAAAAGGCAGAAATACGACATAATAATTCACAGGGATTGTAAAAATTCTGATACTGTAAAGAACCCGTTTGGAAAGGTACCACGCTTGAATAGTTACAGGCTGTGAAAATTTTCCCATGTGGATCCCTAAAGATGCAGGACATGCTCCAAAACGGTATGGATTAAATAACTTTTATAAAGCAACCACACTGTGCACAATTCTAACTCATGTTCCCATCAACCCTGTCAGGAAATTATAGTTGCTAAGCATCCTCCTGACAAAACCATGTGTGGCAGAGTATCAGATCATTTTGTCCATTTCCACGACTCACAGCCGAGACACCACTAAAATCCCAATTGCAGTCCATGAGTCTACACGCCGCTAAATGCTAGTCACTGGGTTTATCCCCGAAGGCACTGCGTAAATCCGACGCGGAATCCCCTACAAATATTTCAGTTATTAACCTTCAGAGTTTAACGCTGCAAGAGGAACAAGCACAATTTGGGCATGCAGCTCTTTCTCTGGCTTACAGTGGATGAAGGGCATGAATGATCTGAGGCGCCAAACGGAGGGAATCCAGTCAGTATGGGGTCCCAAGTTGAGAGAAATAGCAGGTCGTTAAAATGTTTTGCAATTCTCCCCGGGGCTGGTTGTACGATCCAAATGTGCAGGTTTGGTATGAAACCCGCCCGACCGCCGGAGTGCGCAGAGCGGGCATGGCGCAGCTAGAACAGGTGCAACACGCCTCTCGTCACCTGGCTGGTGCAGTGGCAACCTCACGCCCAAAACCTGGCTATAATAGCACCAAAGCACCCTAAAAACAGTCCTGGCTGTGGGGACTAACGCCGTGACAAGCTTCGTTCCTTACCTGTAATCTATGCAGATATCACTTCACAGCCGCAGCCGCATCGACACTGCGGATAAGAGGCACGTCCAGAGCAATCCCCAACTCCTTTTACTCCCCCCAAAAAATGAGAAACGCTTAGAATAATGTTATATCCTGATCACACGGCTTGTCCACTTTAAATCCCCGGTGGAGGTGTAGTTAGAAGGCGATTCCTGCACAGGAAAAAGAAATAGCAGCAGACTTCCAGCAGCATCCCCGATCAGCAGGACCTGACGCCGCTCTGAGCGCTCTGAGACCCGGGAGCTGCACCTCCCATTCCCCGGCGAGGACGCACTTTGTATGCCGTTGGAAAAGCCGCTGCGCCGTACGGGATACCGCAGGAGGCTGTGCTTGTGTGCGTGTGTGTGCGTGTATATGTGTGAGTGTGTGCGTGTAGAGAGCGTGTGTGTATAGATGTGACTCAGTGCGGTGCTCCTGCTCAACTGAGGTGCTGAGGGTGCTGCAGCGGAGTGCGAAAGGGAGAGAGGGAGTGCGGGAGCGACGGAGAGAGAGTGCGCTGTCTCGGAGTTTGCAGCTTCGCAGCGGATCTTGAGGCTCGGGAGGGACTGAGTACTAGATGGCGCTTCGCCCGTTGCAAAAGGAGACTGTTTGTTTTGTTTTTTTTACCAAGGATCCTGCCTCGCCCGCAGTAACATCTCGGGTCTGGAGGGGGCTGCGTTTGGGTTACATTTTTAAGTCCCTGGCAACTCCCCTAAAGAGGCTTAGTGCGCATTAATGAGCACCATTCAAAACAACAAATATATTACCATAATCACGTTTATGATCTAATTTCCTTTACAGGCAGTGACAAAGTGCCAGCTGAAGTGAGACAATTCCACTAGTGTCCAATGCAGTTTCACGTTTAAGTGCCAGCCCCTTAAAACAATCACTTTACAGAAGTTAATTCTCAAATTTATCAGCTCCACCCTTTGATGGATATTTTTCACCCAGGAAAACAAGAATATGACAGCTATGAGCTTAAATAGAGCTTATGCTTTGTTAAAATAGAGGTTTATGTAATGCATTCATCCCGTTGAGAATGGGATTTGGCAATGCCAAAGGGGACTTTACACAAATACGCTACAATACCGGGGTGAAATGATCAGATCATCGGATTTGAATATCTAATCGCAGGATCATTTAAAGATGGAGATTAGGCAACACAGCAACATAATTACGACACTTGCATAGTTGTAGGGGATTAGAATCTGCATTTTTGTTCTTTGATGATCTTTTAACATGCTCCAGGAGTGTATCCTCCCCCCATACATTTGAAGCAATTAATATTCTAAAGGCCTAATTATGTAATCGTGTCTTTAGCGAAATAAGCGGTGTGGGGGTACAGGAATAATACATATATTTTTTTGTATATAAAACAGCCTACTAAGCCTGCTCCTTATCTTCATGTGAAGACAATTCAAAACAGATCCATGCGCATCCACTAAATATTGCACACAATATGGTTTCAATGTTGAGGTTTCTTTCATTTGCATCTCATGAGATAACTCTGAAATTAAGCTTTGCTGGCTTGTTTTAGTGTTTCAAATAGTCAATGACAGGATGGAGAGTTTGGGGATTTGGCAATGAGCTCAGAGAAAACAACTGGGAAAAAAAAACTTTATGAAACAGGTTTTCATGCACCCCCTGATCATTTATCCTATATCACTCACTGTGTGCGCTCGGAGGGGTCTTCTAGGGGGGCATCCGCGCCTGCTGCAGCATCCTCTCCCTCCTTCCCAGCCTTCTCTCCATCCCTCCCTCCCTGATCTCACGTCCAGAGGGGCTTCCTCGCTTTGAAACACTGCATCAGAGCCCCACCTACAGGCCAAAGAAACTTTACAGCTACTGACACTGACACATACAAACTGTGACAAACTGCTCCACTGGCCCTGCAGTGCTCTCTGTGACCATCCATGTACACAAGTCACTGTAACCTTTCCTTAGATTTAAACAAAACGTTTTAAACCTACAAGGACAGATACACACCCCGATATGATACAAAACAAACAACACAGACACACCAAGCCAGACAAGAGCTACAAGGAGCTGCTGCCCCATGAATCAGTCAAGCTTGTCACATAAGGTGCACTGTAAAGTTACACACACAAAATGGAGGCCTACTGTAATGCTGTAATGTCCCAATGAACCAGAGTACGTCATCAAACATATTAGGCTAATGTATATAAATATAGGTCACTATGTAGGCCCGTTGCTCTCTTGGGAGGTTAAAGGCTGAAAGAGGAAGTTTCAACATACAGTCAGGTCCATAATTATTTGGACAATGATACAGTTGTCGTCATTTTGGCTCTGTACACCACCACAATGGGTTTTAAATGAAACAATGAATACCTGCTTAAAGTGCAGACTCTCAGCTTTCATTTAAGGCTTTTTTCAAAAATGTAGTATGAACCGTGTAGGAATAACAACCATTTCTTCACACAGTCCCCCGACTTTAAGGGCTCATAAGTATTTGGACAAACTAACATAATCATCAATTAAACAGTCAGTTTTAATACTTGGTTGCAAATCCTTTACAGTCAATGACTGCCTGAAGTGTTGGACACATAGGCATCATCAGATGCTGGGCTTCTTCCCTGGTGATGCTCTGCCAGCCCTTTACTGCAGCCGTCTGCACTTCCTGCTTGTGTTTTGGGTGTTTTGCCCTCAGTTTTGGCTTCAGCAAGAGAAACGCATGCTCAATTGGATTCAGGTCAGATGATATGACTTGGCCGTTGCAGAACATTCCACTTCTTTGCCTTAAAAATGTCTTTGGTTGCTTTTGCAGTATGCTTCAGGTCATTGTCCAACTGCACTGTGAAGCATCGTCCAATGAGTTTTGAAGCATTTGGTTGAATCTGAGCAGATAATGTAGCCCCAAACACTTCAGCTTTCATCCTGCAGCTCTTCTCAGCAGTCACATCATCAATAAATACGAGAACCAGTTCCACTGGCAGCCATACATGGCCATGACATAACAGTACCTCCACCATGCTTCACTGATGAGGTGGTGTGCTTTGGATCATGAGCAGTTCCTTCCCTTCTTCCTTCTCTTGTCTTCCCATCATTCTGGTAGTTGATCTTTGTTTTATCTGTCCATAGTATGCTGTTCCACAACTGTACAGGCTTTTTAGATGGTTTTTGACAAACTCTAATCTGGCCTTCCATTTTTAAGGCTAACCAATGGTTTGCATCTTGTGATAAACCCTCTGTATTTATTCTAGTGAAGTCTTGTCTTGCTTACAAGAGCAGCAGGATGAAAGCTGAAGTGTTTGGGGCACCATTACTGCTCAGATTCAACTAAATGCTTCAAAACTCATTGGACGATGCTTCACAGTGCAGTTGGACAATGACCTGAAGCATATTGCAAAAGCGACCAATGACATTTTTAAGGCAAAGAAGTGGAATGTTCTGCAATGGCCAAGTCATATCATCTGACCTGAATCCAAATGAGCATGCGTTTCTCTTGCTGAAGCCAAAACTGAGGGCAAAACACCCAAAACACAAGCAGGAAGGCAGACGGCTGCAGTAAAGGGCTGACAGAGCATCACCAGGGAAGAAACCCAGCATATGATGATGCCTATGTGTCCAACACTTCAGGCAGTCATTGACTGTAAAGGATTTGCAACCAAGTATTAAAACTGACTGTTTAATTGATGATTATGTTAGTTTGTCCAAATACTTATGAGCCCTTAAAGTTGGGGGACTGTGTGAAGAAATGGTTGTCATTCCTACACGGTTCATACTACATTTTTGAAAAAAGCCTTAAATGAAAGCTGAGAGTCTGCACTTTAAGCAGGTATTCATTGTTTCATTTAAAACCCATTGTGGTGGTGTACAGAGCCAAAATGACGACAACTGTATCATTGTCCAAATAATTATGGACCTGACTGTATGTGCAACTATCTTACATGCTACAACGAACAGCAAGACAGCCAACACTAGCATTAGCATAGCTAGTTCGTATCATAGCATGTAAGCTTGCTGTAGCCAAAATGGCGGCGGTAACCGGTAACTGAAAGAACCCGAAAACAGCCACTAACTGAAAACGTTACATACCTCCAGTATTTTCCACCGCTCTCTATCAAAAAAGTAAACTTTAACGTTCATATGCATCTTGCCACCAATTTAAACTCAAGGTAAGTTAAAGTACATAAAATTAAAGCAATGTAGTGATTGTAAACATGGTGTAAAGCGTAATAGTACCAATTAACGCCAGCTGGGTGTCACGTGACTGTACTCTCTGCCCACCTGTGAGTCCATTTTGTGTTACTGACAAAAAAAAATCCACAAAATACACAGCATTGTTTTTAAATGGTGACAACATATTTGACAAGAAATATAATACTAGACATATTTGTAAAAAAAAATAAAATAAAATAAAATAAAAAGAAAATCACCCACAGAGGGAAATTTTACTGGGTCTCACATTTGAACGAGATTAACAGGCAAAACATTACCTTATAAATATTGTACTCCTAACAAAGTAAAAGTTCATTTCAAAAATTTGCATAAACCCTATCCAGTGATATCTATAATTTACAGATATGTGGATGAAAACCTTTACTGACATCCTGATGAACTGTGATTCATTAATTCTTTCAGAGTAGAATAACAATGACATTTTAGTCTGATTTAATTTTTCATGTTTTCAGTACTACTAATATCACTCATTGTTTTACACTAAAGGATATAATCTGTTACTATGGTGGTATGAGCAACAAGTCTCTGAACTATGTTGTCACTTTTTATTTCAGTAGAGAAATTCTTTATTCATAAACAGAAGTTCTGAAGTTCACAACCCTCTTTCCATCTTTTTTTAATTGAATAATAATTAATATTGAACTTTCTTGCTCTTTTGAACAATTAAAAAAGTAACAGGTTTTTAGAATATTACAGTTAAATATTTGATGAAACCCCCTGATGTGAAATGAACTGCTTTTTTTTGTTTGTTGCTGTTGTTTTTCCTAATCTCCATTATTACTTTATTTATTATAAGAATTCTGAACATATATATAATGATATTATAATTATTTACTTTCAGTTTTTTGTTCACCTTTCATTGCAATTTGTTTTAAGCTCTCATGTATTGTGTTTTTTTATACCAGATATTTTTTGTACATTGTATTGCTGAATTAAGTTTTTTTTTAAAAAAAATAAATAAATAAAAAAAATGATAGTGAAGTCACATGTGATCACATTGTAGATTAAAGCTTTTATGATCTGTGGGAGAACACTTTATACAAATAGACCTAATAAAAACATATAAATTAGCCTGCAGATGTGACTTTCTAACTTTTACTTTGCCTTAAGGTGTCTTAAAGTCACACTGTACGCACTATCATAAATTCTGTCTCTGTTCTGAAGCTTCATTGAAGCTGTGATGCTACAGCTTCAGGGCTGTAAACACCTATTTAACATCAGGGGGAGCATTTCATTGACACCTTTTACAACCCAGCTCTCCAGGGGGATCTGGGGGAATTCCCTTCTGGATTAATTGTTAGAAATGTGATAGCAAATCTGACCATTTCAGAGCATTCTGACACAAAAATCTTTGA